TTCTTCTATTCTAATAAGGTATATTAAGTAGGAATTTTATATATTTCATTTAATTTCTGTGATTAAAATATTTTACTCAAGATTGAGCTTGGTATATCTTTAAATACAACTTCCGTTTAAAGTAAAGATCATAAAGATGACGAATATATTCTCTGGGTTTGTTATGTTTTCTCATTGTAATACCATAACACGTGGCATAATTGTAACATCACATGTTGAAGAGATTGTGAAATACACTGTTAGTTAGATTATTTACAGTGAGCTGACTATGACATCATATAGGTGCATTCTAATCATTGTACTGATACATTCACATCGATATTGTATTACATTTTATGTACCAGCAAAAATAATAAATAAATAAATAAATAAAAAAATAAATACATAAATAAATAAATAAATAAATAAATAAAAGATTCAATAAAAAACCTAAATAAAAACTAACAAAAAGCAACTTTTAAGACAAACATGACAAAAACGGTTTTTCACAAGAAATAGTTTTCATACTAGTTTTCATCGTTTATCATCTATTTGTTTTATTTAGATTTAAATTCAAAAGACAACAAAATGCATCAATCCATCAACTTATTATAATTTAACGTTTTCTTTCATTTTATTTAGCCTAACATAAATTATCTATTATCTTATCATTATGTTATAATAAATTTAAATTTAATGTTATGGTCATCATGGCAGAAACTTTATGCTTGACGCGCTTTCAGAATTCTAAATTTTTACCTTTAGTACGGCTTACATGGCGTTCAATAAAAATAAATATATGATACGAATTTAAGTGATCGGAAAATAATCAATTAATGTAACAAAATGGTAACAAATTAAATTTAATGCAGATAGACACCAGTGCTGTTGATATGTTATTTTCATAAATATTTTCTTCAAAGTTATGTCGAGTAAGTGATAATTAAAAAAAGGTATTTGGTCTTTTTCAGTTATGCACAACTAAACTTTTATACGGCTCTTATGACATCCTCCCGCGATATCGCATATTGTGCAGAAAGACCAACGTTTTATTCATATATCTACAAAGTAACCGCATACAAAAGGTTGTAGTATACTCGCCATTGTAATAGTCAATCTTTTGGAAAATACAAGTAATGTATCTCATTAATAAATTAAAATAAGTAGGTAATAAGTAATTAAATAACATAAGGAAATAATTAAATAACTTTAATGTTATGTTACTTAAATTTGTTTATGCCTGAAATAATGCACGGAAGGGCACCTGGTGTCTTCCTTCATCAGTAAAGCTAGAACATCGCCATGTGACCTATACTGTGTCAGTTTGACGTAAAACCCAATCAATCGAACAAACAAAGAAATAACGCTATAATCATTTCTGCTATCTTCAAGCTGTTTTGATTTTCTTGGAATTTGGAGGATATGTGCTTGGATAATATTCTAGATGCAAAATAAAATCCACAATGAAATGTTCATGGTAAGCGCTACATGGTCATAAAGGATACACCATTGAATATTTTTATTCTTATTGTATGCAATAAATGAATAATGACAAGAAGAACGGCATAAAAACGGTTGCTTTTTTAGTATTACGGCTAATGTACTTACACATCTAAAACTCATTTATTTCACTGTCACTTTACCAACAAATAAGTTCCAACGTCAAGAATGAAAAACACAGATATTAAGAGTTTAAAGGCTACAGCAGAAAATGTCAACATTGGTATGTTTAATAACCACTTTAATTTGATATCAAAATATGCCTGATGCCAGCTGAAAATCTTTCTTTTGGTGGCTTGTTGTTCACAATGCGTACCATCAGTCAGAGCGTTGCTGGCTGCGATAGTTCAAACCCGGCAAGAAACAGGTTGTTGTTTCCTGGTTTGAGGTAATGTCGACCAATTGCTTAGTACTAGTTTGTTCCAGGAACTGATTTGAGAGTGTGTCTCAAGTTAAAGTTCATACAATCACGAATTAATTCTGTATTTGTTATTCGTGAATTCGAACTTTGCGTATTACAGTCAAATGGTTCGTTCTCACAGATGTATTGGTGTTGACTATCTGACTTCATAAAAAATATCAATTCGGAATAAGGTAGCTAAAGGTAAACCGTTGTTTTTTAGCAATTTAACAAGGAATTTAACATTCACTGCTTTAGTACTGGTTTCTTCCATGGTCGGATTCGAGAGGGTGTTTAAGTTCAAATTTTCCTTTAAAAATTCTAAAGCCAAGTGGTCGTTTTCTACCCATGTGTAGGTGTTAGCTACATTATTATGTCAACAGAAAAATCAATTTTGAAAAAAGGAAACTGATTAAAACTTTACATTTAAAGAGACGTGACAGGTAGCTATGAAATAGTTATACATATACATGTAGTTATAAATAATATAATAATATAATATATCTTAAGCCACCTTTTTTGCATTATTTTATGTACAAGTCACTCAACTATGATGAAATACACACATTTTCAACAGTTTTCGTATTATTTTTGTAAATTTGAAATATGTCCCTAAAGTTTATGTCACGTCTGTACCGTAATCATAATCTGTACAAGTAATAACTGATCCCTAGCTATAATGAATAAAGTAAAGCCTCTATTTTAATAATTTAAAGAGAAATCGCTGAACAGTAACACATGAGGTGCCACAGGGGATTGTCTTGTTTGTATATTTTGGAAAACGTATTCTACTGTTGGCAAGTACTTGCATAACTTTTATACCCTACACTCCTGTACAGGTAGTATGATTTAATCGTCAGTAGTGTGCATTTACATCCCTAATGAGAATTTGTAAAACATATGGTAAAAGTCAGTAAGAACGATTCACATCTATAAGAGATACATTATTATTACTTTTACTGAAATTTACATTTATTTTATTATTAATCCACGGTCTTGTCAGATGAACAACAATAAACACAATATAGCTATACAATTTTGTGTTAAGATAAACTAAAATGGAATTCAATTAAAGTTTGGTAAAATAAGGAAGTAAAATGCATGCTTATTTTTTGTCACTGCTGTAACATAAGTGTCTTTCATTTAACATAACTGTCATATAGAAATGTAGTTGTTATTTTACCAAGGTCTTATCAGATGGTAATGTTTCTTTTAGAATATTTTTACATCTAAAGATAAAATGAAATTACATTAAATGCACTTAAATGCACATTTATTATAATAGACACTCCAATACCATAAATTTTTTACTTAAAAAATACTAAGAGGATATTTTTTCGTTTCAGTGAAATATAGAATATGTTTTTTACGAAACATGATAAAATTCCAAATATTTACACGAGCCGGGACGGCAAGTGAAAACATGTGGCATTTTATCATGTTGAGTGAATATATATATCATATTTCACGAAAAACGAAAAATAACCCTTTTATTTAATTTCATTATTAAAGAAAAATAGTTACAAATCCCCTTGCTTGCTACGCAACTGCAATTGTACAGTGCGCAGTAATATATTTTATTATTTATCGATGCGACTTGTTTTGCACGCGATGTTTGGCGCTACATTGCGACGTAACGTAAACCACTCTTTAAACGTCTGTACAGCGTTAATGACTGAATTAAAGATATTCATTTTGTGTTCGGATTTATTTTCTTAGTTAGACCATTTTCTATCATTCTAGATAGTTTTGAAAACAAAATTCAACAAAAGTTGTTATTTATTTATCAGATATTTTTTAAACACATGGCGCAAGAAGTCCCTTAAAATAAGTATGAGTTTTGACTCTGCCCACTTTCATATTTATATTTCATATTATTTTCTACAAAATTTGAAACATTTTGACTGATATAGCACCATTTTGCACGGGTAAAATTAAATTAATGTGTATAAATCATCTAAAATTCATATTTGAAACCGTTGTAACATGAGTTACTTGTTTTTTTTTAAAGTAATACCAAACCTGTTGAATGAAACATGTTTATTATGAGTAGACACAGTATCCCTTATCTAGCTGTTAAATACAAAAATGTTCTAGGAGTGAGATGAGAGAAGTAGTCAGGTCAACGTCATAGTCTTCTGGCAAAATAAAGACATATTAAGCTTGGAAACATAATTTTTTATCATAAAGAAATAAGTCTTATCACACCACATAAAAGTTTTACTCTCTTTTAACATCTACATGATCTAACAATTAAAGATATTCAAACTAAAAATGTTGCGAAAATATAAAATGACTCTTTTATTTATACAATCAATTATTTTTAAACTTATAACTATTAACATGTCAACGATTTCTTTGTACAATTAGTACTGTTTAAAACCAAAGTAAGCTGTTACTTTGAAGTCGCTTTTATTTCAAGGAGTGTAAGGAGGATAATTTAATGACATATCTTGTGAAAGGAAGCATGAAAACGATCATCAAACGTTCATGAATATATGAATCTAACATTGGCTGCCGGTACAGACCGGAATATCTAGCTCGAGGGTAACTGTTTACGGCGGTAACGAGGCTATGCCGAGCTTCCGCTAAACAGGTACCCGAGAGCTAGATATTCCCGTCTGTACCGACAGCCGGTGTTTGATTCTTTTTCTTGCATATAACATATCAATTGTTTTCAGAACAGAAATTATGAAAACTGATATTCTCAATGCGCACTTTTTTCTTATAGTAGCGTATGAACTTACAACTTCATTCATTACGGTAAAATGACGTCATCAAAAGACGCAATTCATTCATAAATGGCGCGCGTCAATGACGTCATTTAAAGAACGCGACTTGTCTTACATGGGGGGTGTAAGATAGAGTTTTCTAGCACCGGTGTAAACGGTAGATAATCCTGTCTGATATGCAAGAATGATTGCTATTATACCACTTAAATGTAATTGAGAATAGTTGTGTATAAGGCTTACCATTTTACTAGCATTTACTTCAGGCAATTTTATTATGAACTCATCATCACTAGCTGTTCATATTACTGGTGAAAATGCTCAATGCTCAACCTAATAATAAAAGCTTAATTTGAAGGAACGGTTTTATGAGATTAAAACCCAAACTCTAAGACTTTGATTTATTTATTTTCTTACAGTATTGTAATTTGGATAATGTTTCTTTTTCATAGTAGATTTGACTTAAAGACACATATTTTTGTATGTCTTATTTACAGCGGGGCATGTGTAATACATTTATTTTACAGATGTCAGCTGTAGAGAGCCTATATAATAATGAATTCGAAACAATTCAGTAGTCGAGACATTTATTCGATTATCCTGAACTAAACAGTAAATTGAACAAGTGATTAACAAGCATTCAGTAATGCATTATGCATATGCTGTCTCTTCCTGGCGGAATTATTTATGCGACCAGAACTCATTTTCAGTCACTGAGACTTGTTTTAACCTTTGGGTTTGAAGCATCTCTATAAATCGAACTTGAATTCTTGCTGGGAACATTTGCCATTTTTTGGATACATTTGTAAGTCATAGGATGTTGCAAACAATGAGTGCTAATTACGAAAGTCGAATTCCCTAACGTTTACAAGGCTTCAGTGTTGTTATATTTTTCTGGTCCTTCGAGATCAATGATGCCAGCACTCTCAAGCCGGTAGTGGGGGGCATGAGCGATATGAAATTTTGTTGTGATTATTTGTTCCGGGGAATAACTTTGTTACAGATTTGAAAGGAATTGTCACTAATGCATTTTTATATCCAACAGCGTTTTGTTTTTTATTAGCCCTTCATTTATAAAAGTTTGGCACTAACTTACTGTTTTGTTTCCCATGCGATTGCTACTAAAATATGATAAACAAGATCAACAAGGAAAGGCGGCGTTCAATGAACGCAACAAACCTATAACAATTTTGTTCTAACGTATAGTGCGCCCCCTTTACAGACGATAACTAATCCCTATTATATACTACTTTGTTCTTTTGATAAACTTTTTTTCTAAACTACTTCGGAAGTAATGGGTCTGTTTCTTTGTCACTTTGTATCATGATAGGAATGTTTTGTAAGAGTTTGGCACAAAAATATTTGTCTGTAAATTTAAGATAAACGTGTGTCTGTAAGTATAGACGTAATTCTTCGTAAATAAGTTCTTTATCAAGTTCTTCTAACACAATAAGCACCATATTTACATTCCTGTCTTTCAGAAACCTCATGTGAGCCTCACGGAATTCCATATTACACCAGGCGCTTCGAAGGAAGCTATTGGAAATAACCAGTAAAGTTGTATGACTGGATTCAATCGCACTTAGAATATTCTCGGGAATTGGCCTAGCGATGCGAAAATTTCTCTCCGCTATGCAAACTTTATATGGCGGTGTCTGGTTTTCCAAGAAATCAACGATTTTAGTAATGGTTACGTCGTCATCACAAGAATGTGCAATGAATATATCGTATTGCAAACGTCGCTGTTTCCTTCTCCTTAAACAATATTTACATATCCCAAAATTTGATATCAGAACAACTTGAATGCTATTGATTTTACAAACGATGAGAGTAGCAAGTAACACAGAGCCAGCCAATGAGCCTAATGTAATTATGAAAACGTCTTTTAAAGAAAGTCCGGTTCCGCATGTAAATTGATTGTCTGGTATTGTAATAACTGGTCTATCGGCATCAGATCCAGCTGTGCATTTAATTTTGTCTTGATAAACGACATGATTCTTATTGGACAGAAGCCATTTTTTCATCCATAGTGAATGGCAGTCGCATATGAATGGGTTCCCATCAATTGTCAAGATTTCTCCTTCCGTGAAATTGAGACTTTGAAATGTCCTGGGTATATATTTTAAGTTATTGTCATGAAGGAAAATTGTCTTAATTATACCTCCATCAAGTGTGTTTACAATGGACGGATCAATGTCGGTGATTGAGCATCCCGATACGTCAAGAACTGTTACATTTTGAAGATATGTCCTAGAAGAAAGTTTGGTCATTTGTGTAGACTTCATATCTATATGCAGCTTTCCTGCTGCTGGAAATGATGTAGGTAAATCACTGCCAAGGTAATCATCATTGCAACGAATTGTGACGAGATCAAGTGCTATAGTTTCTGTACACGTGCAGGATTCAGGACAATTCTGAGTTACTGAGCAGTTAAATTGGTCTTCATTAACTTTTCTCACCATCATTCCGTCTAAGGCACGAGGTGATCCACAAGTGATTGAAAACACTGGATTGTCCGGATCCATTTTGTAAAAGTTCCTTAGCGCTTCCGACAAGGGATAAAGCGAGCAGTCACAAATGAATGGATTGAACCTTGCATCAAAACCACTATTCCATAATCTTAACAATTGTGGAAAAGGATGTGTGACGTTAAATTTTTTGAAATAATATTCTGTATTCAATCTTGTGATATTATTATGGAGAAGGATAGCTAATATACTGGATGAACTAGAAATGTCATTTATAGAAACATTTAATGAATTTGTGACTCCCGTTATTCTGTTAAAAGACGCATTTACCATCAGACGAATATTTGAATACAGTAAAAGTTTGCTGTATAAACTACTATCAAGTTGTGTTAAACTGTTATTCACTAAATGGATGTAATCTATTGACTTTAACTTGGTATTGAACGTTCCATTTTCAATTCGTTCTAGACTGTTGTTTGCGATAGAAAATTTTTGCAGAGATTCTAAACAGTCCAGACTTCCTTTTCGTAAGACACGAATTGCATTACTATCAAGAACGAGCCGTTTTAGCCTTACACAGGTCCTTTCAAGTCCAATAAATGATACAGATACTAGTTCATTAAAAGATAAATCCAAAGTATCAAGATTTTTCAGACTGCTCAAATACCCGGGAATTGTTTTTAATCGACTGTTTGTAAATACGAGTGTTTCTGTCTCTGGGTATGTCTCGAGGCAATGTATTACTTCTGACTCTACAAATCCCTCACGTATGTCTAACCTCAGCATGTCTTTGTCATAATCACATACGAGCTTTGCGTTCTTAAGTGAATTAACATTCCAAGTCTCGGTATCCACATTATATATAAATGCTAGACTTAGCAATATTTTCAAATAAGTTTCAGCCATTTTCAGTTACAGCTTGTACCAGTTTAATTAAAGTCCATATTGCACAATGATTATTCACCCTCCCATATTGATGGTATTCCTTTAAACAGCAAAATATATGCCTACACTAACAGTTAATGTATTATTGTCATTTTCATAAACTGATACTTAAGAATTGAAATTTACTACGCAACTTAAACATTTTTTAAAAGTTATATTGTTTAATAGTGTAAAATTATAATATTTTGATAAATTAAACTTACGAACTGTGACAGACACTTAACTGAAATGTAAATTCAATCCTAATACATGTACATATGATTCAAACTGCATATCGTTCCAAGTTCTCGCTGGAGATCTACCAAAGTTAATATATAGTCATTCTCGTGTATTGTAAATATATCTCAAATTTGTTTAAGGTTTTTGTGTAAATAAATCGTATTGTAGATTTTTCTTCTGATTTCTTTCTTTATTCATGCCTATATCACCAAATACCGCTATTTACGCAGTCAAATTCAACGCGTGATACTGACCTGGTTTTCCTATCCTTCGGAAAATGCATATAGTAAAACCTTACTTAAATTACTGTTAAAATCTAATTTGTCTAAGGATATAAAGTTTATCAGTATATATTTTAACCTGAAGTGTCAGCTGGCTAAATACAATCTAAAATAAATAAGGACAAAAGTAGTTACTGCAATCTACGAAAGCTTATCAGGGCCTACACTTATCTAAAAGTTTCACGTCATGTAAACTTGTTCCTTTTCGTTTTGACTAAAAAGATCCCAAGAAGACATTATGATTAATACCTGTTACGTAGAAGTTTTTAATCTTTGCGAAAAAAACTTTTGTTGAATTACGTGAACTATTTGTAAAAGTGAGTAACGTCTTTGCGTCTTACTAAATATTTCAGCAAAGTCGTGAAATCACGAAGTGTAATTTTGTTCGGCTAGGTTTATCTCGAATAGACAAAAGCATAAAGCATATCGAGAAAAGTTCGGTTGCAATGCCTAAAAGTTTCTCATCTTTGTAAGTAAATTTTATTGTGACATGCAAAATCATCTTATCAATGCAAATAAAAATAAGTCGACATAGCGCAAAACATCTCATCAACTGTAGGCCCTGATAAGCTTCCGTAGCAATCGATTTTAGATATGAATAATAATTTTTTTTTGTGCGCACTTTACAGTACTTAAACGGACAATAAATTCATGTATTTGTTTAAAATTGTTTTAAAACAACGAAAATACTTCTAATCACAAATCATGCCGATAATATGATGATAACTTCGTACTAATAAAACGATAAATATTGCATTTGATAAGGTCGCAGATACGAGTAATGTATGCATTCGTACAAACATGTTGTAAAGTAAAAAAAACAAAAAAAAAAACAACATCAACAACAACAAAAAAAAACAACAACAAAGGTCATTCCTGATTGGAGAGGTCAAGGAGACTTACAGTCTATGTAACGAACGGCTTGCAGTACAGGACCGTACTTCAGTCCAGGGCCGTACTGCTAGTGTAGTGGCTTCGTACACAAATTGTTTCAGTCGCCTCCTTTTATATAAATGTTGAATTGCAAGTGAGAAACACATTTAAAATCGATTCATAGCAAATGTGAATAACTTTTATCGTACCTTTCTTTAGCTCCAAAAAAGGAGGAAATACTGTGGTTTGTTTTGCGAATTTTCGCACGCTCTTTTTCAATTTCTGCAAATTTCCTTTTCGCAGACGGCATTTTGTTTCTCAAAGGAACAACTAACTAATGAAAACCATAACACCCATCCTTATGACTTAAAAGATTCTTTACGCAATTATAGAGATTAATATGTGTAAACAATTAATTGTAATTACCTGTACTTTTATCCCAATGAGCGGCATGTTTCAAAAGTATACGAATTTTTACCGACATTCATCAAACAATCGTGTGAACAAACAAATTAGCGAATGCATTACAATTTGATTGTCTCCGTAAATCATTGCCATTTTAATCAGTTAATGACCACAGATTATCAATCAGTCGGTAATGTTACTTACTAATCATTTCAAACTGTAGCAAACATAATTTGATCCTCTTCACACGGGGCCGCTTCACACGGCCCACTTCACATCGGTCAGTCAATTGTTATCGCCGTGGGGCACCCGGTTTGTATATTGGAGCGTGTCAACATCATAATCTTATCTTATAGATAAGTGATTGGCAGTTTTTTATGTATCTTATACATATTGATTGGGCAGCGGGGCGCATTTAAGTATACGGGGCGGTGTTTTAGAGGCAAAAGGGCGGACTTAAAAAGGGGCAGGGCGGAGCGCCCTGTCATTCCGCGCTAGAATAATCACTACACTGAATATATATATAATCCCATATTTCTCGAAATACGAAAAATAACCCTTTTATTAAATTTCATTATCATAGAAAAATGGTTACAAATCCCCTTGCTTGCTACGCAACTGTACTTGTACAGTGCGCAGTAATATATTTATTATTTATAGATGCGACTTGTTTTGCACACGATGTTTGGCGCTTCATTGTGACGTCACATAAACAACTCTTTCAACGTCTGTACAGAGTTAATGACTGAATTAAAGATATTGGATTTATTTTCTTAGTTAGACCATTTTCTATCATTCTAGATAGTTTGGAAACAAATTTCAACAAAAGTTGTTATTTATTTATCAGATATTTTTTAAACACATGGCGAAAGAAGTCCCTTAAAATAAATATGAGTTTTGACTCTGCCCACTTTCATATTTATATTTCATATTTATTTTCTACAAAATATGAATCATATTTTACTGATATAGCCCCATTTTGCACGGGACAAATTACAGGAATAGGAATGGATAGATTGACGTCTGTCTAATATAACTATTTCTCATTTAAAAAGAGGTACGATGACAGTTTTTCTGTTGAAATCAACCGTATAACTGAGAAATTCGTGTTTAAAGACACTATTTTTTATTTGAGAAATAAGTTCATGGGCGCTGGCATTTTGGCGTTCTTTCACTCTCGCGAGACAGACGAGACCGAGATTATGACGTGTTACACCCACTTCCGATGTAAGTGTACACGCTGGTACAACTAAAATATATCTTGATGAAGAACTTATTAATCTTATTACGTACATTATATATTATTACAGGAACTTGAAATTTAGTCAATACATCACAAATATACGTATATTAGTGATATAGCCCTTCTCTAGAACTGAATTGCTTTAATTTATTAATTGAAGACGCCGCGACATGAATCAACATTTGTCCGATGTTCAAGCTTGCTGATGACCCCTGACCACATGATTTAAGCAATGACTGCTTAATTTTCAAAGATAAACCATTTAATTTATTTGGTCAATTTAATTTGGGTTCTATAAGTAAAATGAGAGGAAAACTCCTTACAATTGACGATAAATGCTTTTAGTTTGTAATTAACTTAATTTTCGCTAAACAAGCTGTCCTTTGTACATGTATGTGTAAATCGGGTACATCGCCGGTCATGTATTTTTTCAACGTAAAATCTCAACTAAATCCAATGCAGAGATCTGCTGAGTCTAAAAAAATGAGAATGGCGCAGGAAAATCGGCAGCCAGACAAATATCGTATGAAAACAAAGCTGTCCGTTGTGTTATTTTGTTATCCAGTCAAAACTGGTACCAACAGATTCAATATTCTCGAGTTTATCCAGTTTCTTATAGCTTTGTCCCCACACACAGATACGCATTTCTACTTCCGTAAATATAATCCAATAAAACAAAAAAATATAAATCTACTTAATATTTAAAATGATTATTGGTAACTGGAAAAATGTGTTGCTATTTTAAGAAATGCTGTAATTTACAGTGTGAAACTTGATTTCCCCTTAGGTCACTTAAGTTCAGTGATCAAGTGTAAAAAATAGATGTCTATTCCGTCATCAGAATATTTGACAAGGGTGATTAACCAATCAGGGAAACATTGTGCATGATCAAAAGGTCTCTCGACACAGAGGCATACAAGGAGCAATAAAAATCGTCAATATACAGTGTGACAGGGACATCGGTGCAAATTAGGAACAATTAAAATGGATAATGCACAGTATTAGACATAAGTAGTAAGAACCAGCAATTGTGTGAATAAATTATGCAAATTAGATTTTTGAGCAGCCAATAAAAATGTTTTGTTGGGCAACGATAAAAACCACGCAGCAACATACTTTGACCTCTGATTGACAGACATGTTTACAAAAGAGTTGCTTATATTTTTGAAATTTATACTTCAATTATAACATATGTTCACACCTTTTATTTGAAAGTCCGAAATATAATTACTATTTAGAACACATTTTAGCAGGGTTTTTATAATAATGATAATTATCGCCGTTCAATAATTAACAGCCGATTATTCGTTGGTGCGTTTGTTTATTTAATTCCTTTATTTGATTATGAATCTTTTTGAACTTGTTAAATAATAACATGTGCATTTATTAAATCTGTGCAATATTGTTTAACTACATTAAGATGAGACTTTAATGAACATAGCATTGTTTGGGTAACAGGCATCACTGACCTGAAGTGGTGCGACCGGTAGACGTTGATTTTTTATTTGTGTCTTTGGTTTAAACAATATTTATTTCTTCATCAATATTTACAGACAATATTACAATATATAAATTGCATTCAGGATTGAGTAGAAAGCTTGGAGCTCATATGAAACTCTCTCCTGTAAAAACATATCTACAATTTATTTTAGTAACAACATGACATAGCAAAAGTTCATTAATTGTACCTGCATTTAATTCCTTCCATATATTTACAAGAAGATAATACATATCTACTACTTATGACGCAATTTGTAAAGGATCATAAAGAGGAGCTGAACATGTTAAGTGTGTAATGCAATGCCTGTATCAAATTTAAATAATTTCTCGACATGTGGGAAAGGGAGATATGCCCCGGTCACATCTTCACGGATAACGTCACGGAAGAGCTACGGTCTAAACGTTCACGGATTACTACGGAAAAGTGAAAATCCGTAGTCCGCTACGGTTCCAGTACGGAAACAAAACGGTATTAGTACGGAGTTCGAGGGATTTACCGCCAAAATGTAGGTAAAAGCCCCGGAAGAGACACGGATTGTTACGGACCGACACGGTTTGATACGGAGCGACACGAATCATGACGGACGAACTACGGATTCCTTACGGTCTGCTACGGTATAAGCACGTGCAAGTACGAATAAGTACGGTCTGATACGGAGAAGAACGAATCGCCACGGGTCTATACGGACCTATTACATCCGTGCTCATTTTTAAAATGCCTCACAAGAAAAGAACATACAGAGTTCAATGATTTTGGCGGAGAGGATTCGGCCTAACCGCGTCCGACCCCCGAGTTATATCAGGTCCGATTCTAGTGAATTTCATTTCCGGACGCCGGATCCTCAGCAACAAGCCATAAGAGTCTGAAGGGGTCTTCGTAAAAGCTAATCTCTAGTCCACTAATCCTCTGTCTGCTCTTACCTTATTAAATATGTAATCATTAATGAAAAATGTTGATCAATACTGCTGCTTGAAATTGGCTCTTCATTTTACAAATACATTTATTTAATTATCGTAGATGTTTAGGTTTTAAAAATATGCATTGATTATTTTCACTGTATTTTGCAGCCGAATAAAAACTATTTCTCCTAGCCCAAAATAGATATATCTTCCCCTAAAAATTCAAATATTTTCCCCTAAAATGCCTTGTGCTCTTCCTTACAAGAATGATAACTTAACAGCATCTGACATATCAGCTAGAAGACAGAAATCTGTCCCTATAGATAGTCGCTGCTATGTACCATGCATGTTAAATTGAATTGAAATTATTTTATTCATAAAATGTGTGGGAAAATTTCATTTTCAGTTGTTGGAATTTGATTTCAGGTTTCCCCTTTTCTGATTTATCGCGCTATATTTTCCCCTTCAGAAAGCCACAGATTGTTTTAAAAATTGGGAAAAAAATACTGATATGTAAAAAAGCTTGTTAACTAATCTTATCATCACTCAAGGGCCAGCGTCCGAAGCTTATGAATCACTTCGTTTTATGTACATATTTACTCCAATTTCACGATCCAATGTTTAGTAAAATTTGTAACCTTAAATGTTATTCTATCATTAGCGCATATTGTACTACGATATTTATATGTTTTTGACCTCTATGCATGTCATCAAGCAGCTCCGCATTCTGAGCATTTTCAATATACAGTTGCAGCCAGTTAATGGAAAATATCTTTTATTGAATGTTCATGTTCGCAACATGCAAACGCAAATATGTCTGTTTTTAGCAAGAAGGTTGTATTCATACCCTTGAAAAAGTACATGTTACTCAATTTATCCGTACTAAACAGTGGTGGACCGTACCATTCCGTACCGTTTCGTGTTACAACACAATAAACCGTATAAGACCGTGATAATCCCTGCCTCTTCGTAGTACAACGTATTACGATCGTGGCTTTCCGTGACAATGTCGTATTTTTCCGTATTTAAACCGTAGCTTATACGTAGGGTAACAGTACAAATACGTAATTCTCCGTATCAAACCGTGGAAATCCTTGACAAGTTAGGACGTACGGCTCAGTACGGACTAGTACGGTTTTCGTACGGACCAGTACGTATTAGTACGGTTTAATACGGACTAGTAGGGATACGCTACGGTTGATTTTTCTGTAGCAAATTTTGTGCATGTTCAAAAATTGTCAAGGATCACTACGGATATACAAGGACTACCACGATTGATTACGGTTACAATACGGAGAGCTACTGACAAGTACGGTTAGCTACGGACGATGCCGGAATTAATCCGTGGCTCCTCCTTGGTTGTCTTCCGTGAATATGTGGCCGGGGTATTAAATAGACAAAAAAGAAAAAGAAAAAAGAGATCAGAATAGAGACAAAAAGTGGAGTAAAGGGGGGTGGGGAGTCACTGGAATATAATGGAAAGTGTAGGTCCTATTTAAGAATATTAAAAGAATTATTTTTTTATTATATACCAAGTATTGACACTTTAAATGATTTCTTTATAAGTAATGGTGTAATAAGTTTCCTAGTGAAATATGCTATAATTATTATAGCATATAATAAGGAAACACATAAAACAGAGGCTATGGAAGCAAGATAAGGGTAACTCTTACGAAACGAAATGAAGAGCGCCCTTACTTGCGTAATACCTAGTAAGTTTATTACAAAGTATCTTAAACACACAGATAAACAAGATATTCCAGATTCCATATTCAATTAACATTTCAAGTTCATATATATGACTTGTTATTTAAAGCGTCTGTATGCATACTCCAGTGCAGAATTGTTACCATGATAATGAAAGAAAATTATTTTGCAAAACTATAATTCAGATCGGTTAGAAACAGTTGCCTTGTTCCTTTATTTTATATATATATTTTTTTGATATTGCTACTCATTTTGAACCAAAAAAAATTCTTCTCTACGCCTTCTGTGAAAATTAATTTGATTGGTCAATATTATATAATATTTTTATGCTTCGCTACGATTCTACCAGATTTATCATAAATCTAAAGATGTGGGGAAATGACGTCACGCGCACCTGTTTTTAAACGGCCAATACACAAACATGGCCGCGCATACTGATTTGAAAAAATCAGTGAATTAGCGATTTAAATTTTGTTGCCATTCGTTTAATATTATTATTTGAAGGCAGAAAATTTGCAGATTTACTATTTATAGTATTCTTTTTCTGATATCAAGTTTTTATTCTAACATAATGATTGTTTTTTTCTTTAAATAAATGTGTATTAATCATCTAAAATTCATATTTGGAACCTTTGTAATATGAGTTACTTGTTCTTTTAAAGAGTAATACCAAACCTGTTGAATGAAACATGTTTATTATGAGTAGACACAGTATCCCTTATCTAGCTGTTAAATACAAAAATGTTCTAGGAGTGAGATGAGAGATGTAGTCAGGTCATAGTCACTGCTCTTCTGGCAAAATAAAGACATATTAAGCTTGGAAAAATATTTTTTTATCATAAGGAAGTTACTCTTATCACACCACATAAAAGTTTTATTCTCTTAGAACATCTAACAATTAAAGATATTCAAACTAAAAATGACTATTTTATTTATACAATCAATTTTTATTTAAATTGTAAAGAAATGGTATAACTATTAACATGTCAACGATTTTCTTTGTACAATATGTGCTATTTAAAAAAAAAAAAAAAAAAGCTGTACATTTTAAGTCGCTTCTATTTCAAGGCGTGTAAGGAGGATAATTTAATGACATATCTTGTGAACGGAAGCATAAAAACGATCATCAAACGATTGTGAATTATTGCTATTATACCACTTAATGTTAATGAGAATAGTTGTGTATAAGGCCTACCATTTTACTAGCATTTACTTCCGCCAATTTTATTATGAACTCATCATCACTAGCTGTTCATATTACTGGTGAAAGTGCTAAGTACTCAACCTTATAATAATAGCTTAATTTGAAGGAACGGTTTTATGAGATTTCAACCCAAACTCCAAGACTTTGATTTATTTCTTTGCTTACAGTATTGTAATTTGGATAATGTTTCTTTTTCATAATAGATTTGACTTAAAGACATATATTTTTGTATGTCTTGTTTACAGCGGGGCATGTTTAATACATTTATTTTACAGATGTCAGCTGTAGAGAGCCTATATAATAATGAATTCGAAAAAATTCAGTAGATTATCCTGAACTAAAAAGTAAATTGAACAAGTGATTAACAAACATTCAGGAATGCATTATGCATATGCTGTCTCTTCCTGGCGGAATTATTCATGCGGCCAGAACTCATTTTCAGTCACTGGAACTTGTTTTAACCTTTGGGTTTGAAACATCTCTATGAAGTGAACTTCTTGCTGGGAACATTTGCCATTTTTGGATACATTTGTAAGACATAGGATGTTGCAAACAATGAGTGCTAATTACGAAAGTCGAATTCCCTAACGTTTACAAGGCTTCAGTGTTGTTATATTTTTCTGGTCCTTCGGGATCATTGATGCCAGCCTTATTAACTGTTGAGAATTGAGTACCGCTCAAGCCGGTAGTAGGGGGCATGCGGGATGTTGCACTTATTCATTATCCCTTATGTAAAAACTCAAATAAACCGAGTCTGCAATTTTCATGTAATTTTGTTGTGATTATTTGTTCCGGGGAATAACTTTGTTACAGATTTGAAAAGAAATGTCACTAATGCATTTTATATCCAACAGCGTTTAGTTTTTTATTAGCTCTTCATTTATAAAAGTCTGGCACTAACTAACTGTTTTGTTTCCATTGCAATTGCTACTAAACCTGCAACAATTTTGTTCTAACGTATAGTATGCCCCCTTTACAGACGATAACTAAATCCCTATTGTATACTACTTTGTTCTTTTGATAAACTTTTTTCTAAACTACTTCGGAAGTAATGGGTCTGTTTCTTTGTCACTTTGTATCATAATAGGAATGTTTTGTAAGAGTTTGGCCCAAAAATATTTGTCTGTAAATTTAAGATAAACATGTGTCTGTAAGTATAGACGTAATTCTTTGTAAATAAGTTCTTTATCTAGTTCTTCTAACACAATAAGCACCATATTTATATTCCTGTCTTTCAGAAACCTCATGTGAGCCTCACGGAATTCCATATTACACCAGGCGCTTCGAAGGAAGCTATTGGAAATAACCAGCAAAGTTGTATGACTGGATTCAATCGCACTTAGAATATTCTCAGAAATTGACCTAGCGATGCGAAAATTTCTCTCCGCTATGCAAACTTTATATGGCGGTGTCTGGTTTTCCAAGAAATCAACGATTTTAGCAATGGTTACGTCGTCATCACAAGAATGTGCAACGAATATATCGTATTGCAAACGTCGCTGTTTTCTTCCCCTTAAACAATATTTACATATCCCAAAATTTGATATCAGAAAAACTTGAATGCTATTGATTTTACAAACGATGAGCGTAGCAAGTAACATAGAGCCAGCCAATGAACCTACTGTAATAATGAAAACGTCTTTTAAAGGAAGTCCGGTTTTGCATGTAAATTGATTGTCTGGTATTGTAATAACTGGTCTATCGGCATCAGATCCAGCTGAGCATTTAATTTTTTCTTGATTAACGACATGTTTTTTATTGGACAGAAGCCATTTTTTCATCCATAGTGAATGGCAGTCGCATATGAATGGGTTCCCATCAATTGTCAAGATTTCACCTTCTGTGAAATTGAGACTTTGAAATGTCCTGGGAATATATTTTAAGTTATTGTCATGAAGATAAATTGTCTTAATTATACCTCCATCAAGTGTGTTTACAATGGACGGGTCAATGTTGGTGATTGAGCATCCCGATACGTCAAGAACTGTAACATTTTGGAGATATGCCCTAGAAGAGAGTTTTGTCATTTGTCCAGACTTCATATTTATATGCAGCTTTCCTGCTGCTGGAAATGATGTAGGTAAATCACTGCCAAGGTAATCATCATTGCAACGAATTGTGACGAGATCAAGTGCTATAGTTTCTGTACATGTGCAGGATTCAGGACAATTCTGAGTTAATGAGCAGTTAAATTGGTCTTCATTTACTTTTCTCACCATCATTCCGTCTAAGGCACGAGGTGATCCACAGGTGATTGAAAACACGGGGTTGTCCTGATCCATTTTGTAAAAGTTCCTAAGCGCTTCCGACAAGGGATAAAGCAAGCAGTCACAAATGAATGGATTGAACCTTGCATCAAAACCACTATTCCATAATCTTAACAATTGTGGAAAAGGATGTGTGACGTTAAACATTTTGAAATAATATTCTGTATTCACTCTTGTGAAATTATTATGGAGAAGGATAGCTGATATACTGGATGAACTAGAAATGTCATTAATAGAAACATTTAATGAATTTGTGAATCCCGTTATTCTGTTAAAAGACGCATTTACCATCAGACGAATATTTGAATACAGTAAAAGTTTGCTGTATAAACTACTGTCAAGTTGTGTTAAACTGTTATTTACTAAATGGATGTAATCTATTGACTTTAACTTGGTATTGAACGTTCCATTTTCAATTCGTTCTAGACTGTTGTTTGCGATAGAAAATTTTTGCAGAGATTCTAAACAGTCCAGACTTCCTTTTCGTAAGACACGAATTGCATTACTATCAAGAACGAGCAGTTTTAGCCTTACACAGGTCATTTCAAGTCCAATAAATGATACAGATACTAGTTCATTAAAAGATAAATCCAATGTAACAAGATTCTTTAGAATGCTCAAGTACCCTGGAATTGTTTTTAATCGGCTTTTTGTAAATACGAGCGTTTCTGTTTCTGGGTATGTCTCGAGGCAATGTTTCACTTCTGACTCTACAAATCCCTCACGTATGTCTAACCTCAGCATGTGTTTGTCATAATCACATACGAGCTTTGCATTGTTGAGTGAATTAACATTCCAAGTCTCGGTATCCACATTATATATAAATGCTAGACTTAGCATTATTTTCAAATAAGTTTCAGCCATTTTCAGTTACAGCTTGTACCAGTTTTATTAAAGTCCATATTGCACAATGATTATTCACGCTCCCATATTGATGGTATTCCTTTAAACAGAAAAAGATATGCATACACTAACAGTTAATATATTATTGTCATTTTCAATAACTGATACTTAAGAATTGAAATTTACTCAACAAGTTAAACATTTTTTAAAAGTTATATTATTTAATAGTGTAAAGTTATAATCTATTGATAGAATTACATCATAAACATTTAATAATATTAATAAAACAATTTTGTAAAGGTAATCACATGATGACCCTATAACAATTGAACAATTGCTATTTTTATTTAAAAATGACTCATGCCTTTATGATCTGTTCTCTACTTGACTTGTTTCACTTAATCCCACGGTCGCACAATGTTCCCATGTTGCGCAATTTTGACTTTGTGTTTTAAAATATTTGCTTAGAGAAATGTTTTTAACTTTACACTCCTAGGGATACCGTTGGAGATGATGAGTGTACACTACATGACAATATGCTGAACTTTGTTATATAACAGTACATGGGCGTCATGTGTTTAAATAGGGGAAGAAACCATCACGAGAGTCTTAAAGGGCTGATTCGTAAAGATGTAAGGAATAAATGAAAAATGTTCAATTGTATTACTTAAAACCTTTTGACATGTTTCTTAGGCTATATCCTATGTTTGTTTGTTTGTTTCATTTTACGTCTTTTCCAAACAGTATTTCAGTCATAAAGGCGGGTAGTTTCCTAACCATCGTTCCTGGAGAGTTAGCCAGTACTAGACTACCTTCCTCCTCGCTTAACTACCAAAGCATCTCCCGGGGATCGAACCCACGTCAGAGAGGTTACTGGATTATAAGTCATCGACTCTATCCTATAAAGACCAATAAATACCCAGAAGAAGTTTAGTTTCCGTTTTATTTTCGAAGAAACATAATCCTTTTGAAAAAGATAAAAAAAAGCATCGGGCTGAATTTTTTACATGACATTCAAATGTTTAAATGGAATGGCGGAAACCAACCCCTGTATTTTGTACTTAGTCAGTGACAGCGATAAGACAATTAACGCAGCTTCATGCAATTAAATGCATTTAATTGAGTGCAAAACATGATTTAGTTATAAATATTCATATAGAATTAGGGTTTACTGATTGAAAAACATGATTTAGTTATTTATATTCATATCGAATTAGGGTATACTGACTGCAAAACATGATTTAGTAATAAATATTCATAAAGAATTAAGGTATACTGACTGCAAAACACGATTTAGTTATAAATATTGATATATACTTAGGGTATACTGTCTGCGAAACATGATTTAGTAATGCATATTCATATAGAATTAGTGTATACTGACTGCAAAGCATGATTTAGTTATAAATATTGATATATACTTAGGGTATACTAACTGCAAAACATGATTTAGTAATGAATACTCATATAGAATTAGAGTATATTGACTGCAAAACATGATTTAGTTACGAATATTTTCGCATAACGTTATGTTATACCTGTTTATGAAACTATATAAACACTATACTTAACAAAACTGTTCAAAATATAAATAATGCGAACGTTAACTTTTGAACATCGTCAATGGGGAAGTAAATTCGAGTTGAAAGTAATAAATGTTCAAGTATACAGAATATATTACATGTGTGTGACATTTATAATGATGCGATTAATCGCTTCAGTTGCTTTGTTAGGCAGATGTAAATTAATCCAAGCGTCAGTGATTTAAGAGAGCTGCAATAATGCAGATCGCTGCAGTGATGACATAAATCTAAAATTTACCGATTACTACAGGTAGGTAATAAATTTGGATGGTTTATTTATATAACGTGAGTAAACACAATTTCATTGCTTTAGACGTACGGTCCAATAACTAGAGATACTATCAAGTAATTTTGCACTCGTTTCCCTACATTATAAAGTATTTGGAACGGGTTGAAAGTGAAACTTCGTAAACAAGACTTGAATACCATTGCTTTTCGTCAAAATATCTCAAGTTTGAAATAAATACATAGGTTCGTGTTATTGACATACTATTCATTATTTACGGAGTCGCAGGCCAAATATCAACCAAGTAAGTCTTTTCTCGAGAATGTTACAGGCGTCTTTACTAGCCCTGTCGATGAATGTTGCCGTTATAGGTAGAAATGTACTTTCGAGGCTGCCGATTTGGGCAGAAAAGAAGCTAACATTGTGATAGAAAATTTCGGTGTCACTTTTTTGTTTGTTTTCATTTTAAGCGTATTTTTGTAAAACTGTCATTTATATTTTTTCTCAGATTTTTATCAATAGAAATAGTATTATTGTAGTTGATTTGAAACAAAACATAACAACAACAACAAAAACAACAGCAAAACACAAAACAAACATAAACAAGAGGGCCATTATGGCCCTGAGTCGCTCACCAGAAACAACTGCTTTTCAGAGTTGGAAATTATCCATTGTCAATATTTTGTGATATTAAATTTGAACCAATCAGATTAATATGAGCAAACTTGATAAAAGACTACCTAATAATGCTACAAAGTCTGGTGATCATCTATCAATTATTTCAGTAGGAAATGATGTTCAAAGGTTTTTCTATTTTTGGCTTTAGTGGCCCCTAAAAGGGGCCAGTTAAATAAATATGAGCAAATTTGATAAAAGCGCATCTAAGAATGCTACAACGTTTGGTGATCATCCATCACTTAGTTCTGTCGAAATAGACGTTTAAAGGTATTTCTATTTTTAGCTTTAGCTGCCCCTAAAACAGGTCAATCACAATAATATGATCAAACTTGATATAAGACTACCCAAGAATGCTACAGACAAAGTTTGGTGATCATCCATCAATTAGTTCTGTAGAAGAAGACGTTAAAGGTATTTCTATTTTTAGCTTTCGCTGCCCCTAAAAGGGGCCAATCACAATAATATGAGCAAACTTGATATAAAACTACCCAAGAATGCTACAGACAAAGTTTAGTGATCATCCATCAATTAGTTCTGTAAAAGAAGCCGTTTAAAGGGTTTTGTATTTTTAGCCTTAGAGACCCCTAAAAGGGGCCACTCAAATTAATATGATCAAATTTAATAAAAGACTACAGACACAATTTGGTAAACATTCATCAATTAGTTCTATAGAAGAAGACGTTTAAAGATTTTTCTATTTTTAGCTCTAGAGACCCCTAAAAGGGGCCAATCAAATTAATATGAGCAAATTTGATAAAAGAGTACCTAAGAATGCTACAGACAAAGTTAGATTAGTTCTGTAGAAATAGACGATTTAAGGTAATTCTATTTTTAGCTTAAGATGCCCCTAAAAAGGGCCAATCACAATAATATGAGCAAACTTGATATAAGACTACCCAAAAATGCTACAGACAAAGTTTAGTGATCATCCATCAATTAGTTCTGTAGAAGAAGACGTTTAATGGGTTTTCTATTTTTAGCCCTAGAGACCCCTAAAAGGGGACAATCAAATTAATATGAGCAAATTTGACAACAGACTATCCAAGAATGCTACAAAGTTTGGTGATCATCCATCAATTAGTTCTCTAGATATAGATGTTTAAAGGTATTTCTATTTTAATTTTAGCGGCCCCTAAAAGGGGCCAATCAAATTAATATGAGAAAACTTGATGAAAGACTACCCAAGAATGATACAGACAAAGTTTGGTGATCATCCATCCATTAGTTCTGTAGAAGAAGATGTCTTAAGGTTTTTATATATTTTTTTTCTATCCCCCTTTGATCCTAATAGCTCATCCTGAGCCTTTGGCTCTGGTGAGCTAAAAACCCATGAAAATGTTTATCATTCTTGATCATATTTTCTATGTTTCATCTTTCACATGACATCTTTCATCCGACAACAACATTTAAAGGCCCATTATTCCCCAGAAATTCTTTTTATATTATTTCTGACAAGATTTTTATTTTGAAGTCCTTTTATAGTTTCCAAAAAAAAAATACTCATTGCCAATTACCTGAATCATCATTTTCATTTGTTGTCTTTTTTTGCAATTTGTACAGTAATTGTGATATAGTATTTTGTATGGAAGTCAAAATACTACTTTGTTTACGTTTTGATATTTTATGATAAATACTTTTACATTATATAGTACTTTCTTAATGTGATAAGTATTTAACATTCTCTAAAAACATGAACCATATTTCAAACAATTTCTACATTTCAAACTTCATTTCAAACATTATTGATGTTTTAAATCGCTACTCGCTAAAAAGGAAATATCAACATATTTCTTTCGGCATTTTGAAGCTATTATTTATCAAGTTTCAAACCAAAAATATGTTAATTTCATGCAGCTGATATGTAGCTTAAGACACTTCAATATGATCAATAGGAATTGCAATAAGAGTTATAATTCATAAAAAATATTTTATACTTTCTTTAAAAAAATTATCATCCAATGAGTATAACGTTACGGTTACAAAAATGTTTAACATATCTTTAATTATGATAATACATATTTTAAAACATATGAACAAAATGACAATACTTACGGTTTTATATCAATTTTGTCCATTGTCATCAATGTTTTTACTCAAGAGGTTCTACACTTATTTCATGTAATTGCATATATATTTTTAAATCTACATGTATAACTTCAAGTAAATGCGTGTACTTTCAAGGCTAAACATGTAATATTTGTTATGTAAATAGAAAGGGAAATGGAAGGGAATTTTATAGAATCATGTGTTGTGTCCTAAAATAGAAGGTCCTGCTCACTCTACCATATAATATCATTCAATGTAATCAAAATGATGTAATACCACTGTGTTATAATTCAAAGTGTAATTTAACTACAGTAACAGTACTATAAAAGGAATCGTGATTTTAAAAATATAATAATTATCAGATTTTGCAAGATAAAATAAGTAATTGATAAATAAATAAGATATTCAAAGAAAACACTTTGACCTTTTCACAGATGGATTATTATAGGTAACAATCAGTTGACACTGCCGATGAATCTTAACATCTTACAATAACTAGTAGCATGACGTTTAAACTAAGTATGAACAAAAAGGTGTAAAAAACAGTTTTTTTTTTTTAAAATAAAATACATTGTAAACAATAGGCCTTAAACATGACTTTAGAAGTCGATACAGAAAAAAAAGATGAAAAAAAAAGACAAAAACACAAAACATAAATAAAGAAAAAAACCCGCATGATTCTGATTTAATGTAATAACGGATATTCAAACAAAAACAAAGCATGTCGTTTCAACAATGACAAAACCCATAAAGACAAAATAGTAAGTAACTAAACCGTTTATGTCAATCTGTATCCACTTGATATTGTTTTTAAGCAACTTGTTAACAACAAAAAGAAAAAGAAAAGAAAAAGAAGAATAATAATTCTGTCTAGAATATATAAATAGAAACACAAATTTGTAATTGTTTGTTTTTACGCAAAAAAGTTAAAATCTACAATGTTTGACAAGTACTTGAAGTAACTTTCTTGTGTGTGTGTTGATTTTGGTTTCAAGGTCTGATCGAATCTGAAATATATGGAAGCATAAACCTGCCCTTTTAACTTGTGTCTTATGACTTGCGACTTATGACTTGTGACTTTTGACTTCTGATTTGTGACTTACCTGTTTGACATAAATCGGCGCGTTTTCGAATGAAATATGGCAGACGAAAATGCTTTATATTCTAGAACAATTTTCCCATTTAATTGAGGCGTTTTATAACACAGTCTCTTCTAAAATCGTATTTTATCATCTGGGTTAGATGCGATTTGAAGACTGCTGAGCATCTCGTATTGTCGACAGTTGTCCTGACTTATTCAAAATGTAAGTGTTATACAAACCTCTCTCACGTGTAGATTCTCTTAAAATTTATTGTTTTAATGACGGTTGTGAAAGCTGTTCATATCCTGTAAATTAAGATAGTATCTGATACATTCGAGGGTTGATGGATTTTTTAATTTTAAAA